GCTTCCTCGCCCAGTCTAGACAGCACCCCATAGTGAACTTTACAAAAATTTTCCATTCCAAATGCACATCTAATCCCACACGTACTCCCCCCTTTTAAATTCTGAAAAGCGACAGAATTTAAAAATTCAGTCTACTGTCGGAAACTTAAATGGGCATTATTCGTATCGCACATCTCTTTCGACATTATTGTTCCGGGGGCTATAAAATAAATAAAATTGAAATTTTATGCAAATCACTGGAATGTTCCATGTTCTATGAGTATGCCATGTGAAGCGGCAAAGCCGAATGGCAATGATAATGTCGGCTACAACAGAAAGGAGCTACAACGACAAGGAGGATGCCAAACGGAATATGTTTGAATTGAGACAAGAAGTTAATTTAGGGAATCGTAATGGCCAAGTGTCCTCTGGGCCTGAGGAAGCCATTCCGCCATTGTAGAACAGATTTAAAAATAAGATGCCAAAAGAGTGCTCCTGATTAATATTTTTGAAACTGTTTAGCTTTCAGAAATTATAATAATTCAACAGAGAATCGCCTCAAATTGGTCTTGAATAATAGAGAACTTTAAATGTACGTTTCCGGCCTCGACTCAATAGGTTGCTTTAAATGTAAAATGAGCTTCCGTTTGGCCCAATGGCGGAGGACCTCCTCCCAATCCAATGGCAAATATCTATCCGTTTAACTGGAGTGGCTAAGTGGAATCCCTAAGCCAAATAGAATCCGGACTCGGAATATGTCCATCCATTCAACTTATTACATAATTAATAATTATAAGAGATACCCGGAAGCAGGAGGCGCTGGCCAAAGTATTTTAATAACCCATCACGTCACTTGGCCCACTCAAGTTTCCACTTACCACATGCTGGCACATGGCCGGCGAGGCATGGCAGGAGGCACATGGTCACATAGTTGTGGGGCGGATGGCCGAAATCAATGTGTGAAACGTGCTAATTGCGGCAGCTGTGCAAATGTGTGTCCGTCCGGCCATTTGATAGTTGACCATCATTTTGATGGCCCGCAAGGAGGAATGCTGGAAATTTGAGGCCGTCGTTCTAATGTGTGCGGTCAGAAAAAAAGGATAATTGCCAAGGACCACAGTCGGCAGGGTGAAGAGAGTAAGGAAAGTGAAAGTTTTGCATAAATGGCTACTGCTCGTCTCTTGGCCTGAAGTTTCCAAACTACGCAAGTGGGTGAGTGAGTGCGAGTCGTAAAAAATGGCAGTGGCGCACTCATGGCTGCCGTAACACGTAATGAGATACTTCAAAATGATGTTATTGCTTTATTTATAGCGCTGCATAAAAAAGGACAAGAAAAAGCGGCGAGTTTCGAGCGCAAAAAAGGAGGTATCTGCCACATAGGTTTTTGTGGATTTTTTTGGGTGCGTTTTCGGGCTTCATAACCTTTTTTATGCCCACGTGGATGGCGTGTAGTTTGGTTTCCATTTCTGTTTTTTGCACCACACTGCCTGTCGCACTTTTACAGCGTTTCTTGTTTATTAAACTTCATCTGTCACACACGCTGGAGTACACAGGAAGAAACTGGTCTTCAGGAAAAGGTTTTTATAAATAAAGTTTGACTTTTCCTTCTGGTAGGCCACACAAGTCCTTGCCCCTCTTATTTCTCTCTGTTCTCGGTAGGACAACAAATACCTATCCATTCTGATGGCTGCATAAATCTTATCTGTTGGCAAATAAAAGCTGCAGTCAGACCCCCTTTATTGCCACCGCTTTCGGGATGGCTGCGCCTTCCTCCGGCCGGTTTTTTTGCGTCGCGACTTGGCAAGTAGCTTCCAGGGAACTTGAGTAATTGCCCCGACTTCCTGTGGCATTATTTGACTGACATTGTTTAGATAAAAATAATTCCCGTTCATAAAATTATTCATTGCCCGCTGTTTGATTAAAGGCTAGCCGCCCGCCAGATAAAAGCGAAGAAAAATAAACGATGAAGAAGGAGAACAACCCGGAGGAGATGAAAATATGTTTCCTGTCGGACGGTCCTGACTGACTAATAATCCAGACTGACTAATAATAGATGAGGTCACGTCGTGGACTTGGCTAGCTGGCTGGCTCCGTTTAAAAAGAAAAGCGTTTGTAGCGAAATTTTAATTCAAAGCTAATACCAGAGTAAGGATTTTCGTCGCTTCCTCAATACCTATAGTCGGTGGGATGAAACAACGGCGTCAAAGAGCGAAATTAATTAGTTCTGTTGGTGTTCCCTTTAATTTGCAGCTTCTACACTCGTATCCCCCTCCAAACTGCTGCCTCTGCTGAGCTCACTCATGAAAAATTAACACACAAATCGCATGGGGCAGACATTTAAAATGCACTTTGTTGCAGCTGGATTGCATAAAATTATCGCAGAAACGAAAATGGTCAGCGATAAGAACACCAACGCTAAAAAAAATAAAAAGGACTCGACTTCTAAAGGACCTCACTCAGATATATGAAGAGTATAGAGCTTAGAAAATATCCTAGCCACTACTTCCTAGAGAAACATATTCCCTCCCATAAACAGGGTATTGGATAATGCTTTCGCCTTGACTTGCATCCGAATGCTTTAAAGTGCATCAATTTTAATGCAAATATCCAGCAAGCAGCATTAACTTTGGCTGCGCTCTTAAAAATTTGCATAATTGCTGAAAGTCAGGCAAAAGGCGCCACAGCTGCCCCGCCTCGCTGGCCACTTGCCTCTTGCCACTTGCCATTTGCCACTACAATGCCCGCATGTGTGTGCCCGCCTGGGAAAATGGGCGAAAAGCGAGGGAAAGTTTAATGAAAAACGTCCAGCACTTTGCACAATTAACGATTTTTCATGATTTTCTCCGACCCGCACTGCCCGCAGGCAATTTGCATAAATCAGTGCAAAGTATCTGTGACACATGGAGAGCACGTAGGTGTGGTGCTAGTAGTGGGTAGTGGGTGTGAGCTGGTCTCCCCCCTGAAAAATGTTTACACATTTGCAAATGTCTGAAGGTCAGAGGCAAAGGGGCGCCTCTGATGGTGCAACATGATTTAGGCGTTTGCCGGCTGAGTAATTGTTGTGCGGCCGTTCCGTGGCCCACTAGCGCAGCTTTAATTTAATTTATGCAGCACTCGCCCCAACAAAAATAACAACTGCAAAGCTCGCCAGCAACAGGAACAGCAACAAAATCAGCAACAATAACTGCGGCGGAAGGAGCCTTCTCCGCCTTGTCGAGAGCCACTAAGTGGCCGCTTCAGCGAAATTAAATGCACTTCCCCGCCCTGAGCGCTTGTCCTCGTCAACGCAGTTGTGAGCTCTCGGAATGGGGTAGGAAGGGGTATACCAGACCCGGAAAATGGCATTAAAGCAAAGCAAACACGGAGCGATTTCCACAGGCCAGATTATGTTGGCTTTTCCAGTCGCCTTTGAGAAGTAAATAGAAGAAAAAGGATAATACCATCCAGACTGGCCCGAGGTATCTCGAAGAACGCATCCTCCCATTGCCCCACTTTCAGAAGAATCACCCATGGGAGGGAAGGCCCTTAAATTGTATTACTAGCCATCAACTGGTCGATTCACGGCCATTAGAAAATAATTTCATTTGCTATTATTTACGCTCGCTGCAGCTTGCAGCTGCCTGCCTCTAAACTGAATTTATTATAATGGCCGCACAATGTGTTTAGTTTTATGGCCCAAGACGTGAAATGTTTATGCAGGAGCGCCACGATGCTTCAGTAGACTGCACTGGCCCCGGACTCTGGACCTATTTAATGCGTAATTACAGCACAAATCTTGTTGAGCTCCCGAAGATGCTGTGCGGGTGGACAGACACCCCGACACTCTTACCGAGAAGTGGCAAGGCAAAGAGCAGTCCTGAGAGGCAGCTTAGCGCTTGCTTCATTGAATTCATAAGCGTCTCGAAAAGTAAATCCTCGTGAACTTTGGCAAAATCCCCTGCCAGCAGCAACAAGAAAGGATGCTGCAAAAAGCCAACAACTAGAAAAATCTGCCAGATAAAAAGCTATGGGGTAAACCAAGGATTTTCCATGCTTCCCCGCCCTCATTCCATTCCACTCCCTGCCAACGGGGACAGCAACCGGGCGGGTCGTCAAAAGTCAATTAACTGTAACACTTGCAACACAACTTGAACTAATTAGCGCAGTGCTGCAGCCTGCAGGTGGAGAGGTTGGTGGGCGGTCGGACACGGTCGGGGCGTTCGGTTTAGTTTGGTTTTCACTTTTTCGCGACGACCCACCTCATCAGCACCTCGAGGGGCAAGAACACACAAAAATGTGTAGCGTGCTTTCGGGCTTGCGGTAAACTAGAATGCACTTAGCGTCGGGCTTTAAATGAGGACGCAACTAGGAGTGTGTGGGTGTACTACAGCCCCGACTCACTCCTACAAGAGCAGAAAGTGTGTCAGGGACTGGATGGAAATGGAGATGGAGAGGATTCAATTTGGCTCAGATGGGGCCAAGCGGGCCTTACTTGCCATAGAGACACGTTTAGATAAAATAAAGTTCCATGCTAGATATACTTGAATTCCATACGATTTAAATACTACATGGAAATGATTATTCAATCATAGAGGCAATCACAGGAAAACAGATAGGAATATTATTCAACTGACACGAATTCTGTGATAAAATTAATCAGTAAACACATTGGTTAGATAAGCCACAATTGTGCTATGATTTAGTGCCTGGGTTTACCAAAATATATATTATTTATGGGTTAAAGACCCCCACTCCGACATGCAATCCACTTAAATTTAGCCTTCCTTTTGAAGTTGTGTCTATAAATACCTAGCTGCAGCGAGAAGCTACCTCTCTTGCGCCACTATACCGACACTACATCAAAGCTTCTGTGTCACACCCTTTTGCTCCATTGGGGCACAGCTTCGTCGTCATTGCCGTTTAATTAGGGTGCCGCTTGTTCTGAGCTGCCTGCCTATCTTATCAGTTCCCCTGAAGACATTCCCCACTAGATGCGTTATCAGAGGCATCTGGCAGAGGTGTGATAAGCTTCAAGACCCAAACCGCGGATGCATCTCCATTTCGTCTCTGATTCCCGCTTGGAGTAGATGTGAGGCCCTCTTCTCGCCTTAATGAAGCTGTCCTCCATGGTGGCTGACGTGTGGAAGCGTTTGGCGGCCATGTTGTCGCTGCCTGATCTGCTAGTTTTGGGCTGCCTGTGGGCCAGTGGCTTCTCGTTCGGCTACTACATCAAGTCCGCCTATGTGTACGACAACTTGTGGCCCCATTGGTACGCCTTGGTCGGAGGGATCGGTATCTTGGCCTTGGCAGTGGGCTGGACCCTCAGGAAAAAGAGGAGGCAGCAGTGCAGCTACGATCACTTCTACGTCATCTTCTATGGACTACTGTGCTCGCTGATGGGAAGTTGCTTCATGCTTACCAGGCAGATAGGTGAGTCACCAATAGAATTGTTATCTAGCTTCAGGTCTTCATTTGAATCTTCAGCTGTGAGCCACTACTTCAGTTTCGTGGGACTAAGTGTTCAGTACTTGGCGGGATTCAGCTACGTGAGTCTGCGGTGTGATGCCTCTGGATCCAGGCCCTCCAGGATCGCCTTTGCCAACTCCCTGTATGCGGGCGGAATGTCCACTGGCTTTGCGATCTTCAACGAGATGGAACCCCAAAGAAGTGGCCTCATTTCCCTGGGAATCAACCTGCTTCTGCTTTGTTTGGTTTGCCTGAACGAGCTGCTCCAGCATGTGGGCTGCATCAACTACAAGGAGTCTCGGGATCTGGTGTTCAACCTTCTCAATGAGGAGCGGATGGTGTTCCTGCCCCGCAAGGCGGTCCTCGCCCAGTTCGTGGGTCGCGCGGACTACAAGCTGAAGGACAGTCGCCAGTGGCGGGTGCTGCTCCTAGGAGGATCTTTGGTGTGCCTGCAGAAAAGCTGTCTACTATTCTCGCCCACCTTCATGCAACTGATGTGGAGCGCCACGGTTGGCTATCTCCAGAAGACCCAGCTTTTCATCCCCTACGTGCTCTACGCCGGAGGCTGCAGCTTCGGTGCTCTGCTACTGATGCGATACACCCCCAAGCTGGTCTACCTCCTCGCCGGCGTCATCCAAGTTACCCTGATAGTGGCCCTCCTCTGCATCTTTGACGAGGACCGATCGGAGCACTGCTTTCCGTTCCTCTGCCTCATATACGTGACTATGGGGGTGCTGTCGAGCCAGGCAATCCATTGGCTCCTGGAGTACTCCCCCTTCCTTTACACTGAGCTGGTCTTGGCCTCTGGATTTATCCTCCACCTGGTTGTCCAGGAGAGCTGCAAGTACGAGGCCTATGCCACTGACCTTTGGATCGCTCTGCTCAGCGGGAGCTCGGTAACTTTGGGGCTGACCGTGGTGGCAGTTGTGGCAGTGCAGTGGCTGCAGCCGCACTCCGCCAGCCTCGTGGACGTTCGCAACCGCCTGCTGGGGATCCGGCGAATAGAGCCGCCCCCCGAGCAGACCCAGTTCTGGCACACCAACCACTTCCTGGCCCACAACAAGCCCGCCAATCAACTGGAGGCCGTGCAGGTGGGCCGGAAGCGTGTGTTCCAGCAGTATCCAATCAGTGGGAGCGACATCACGGACAACCCCAAGGCCGATAAGTTCTGACACATTACTTGCCCAGCCTAATGATTAACATTCTCCGTATTTATAAATTTTTCTTGTTTTTAAAAGTTATAAAATAAAGGCTTGTATTGTTATGATTCGAGAACGAAAGGAAGATCCCTTAAGCACTCGTAATACCTTTCGGAAACTAATTCTCGCAAAGATGTTTTTTAATTTGCCATTAAAACTTTTTAAGCCGACAGGCATAGAAATCTGTTCTCTCGTAATAAGCCTTTCTCAGGGATTATTAATTATTTATGAGCCGGCATTATGAGTCGCTGAGCTCGGAGCTCGTAGCTCGGAACTCGGAAGAAATTAAATTCGTGAAGGAAACATGAGAAACTTCGTACCACGCGGCCGCTACGTTAATGATTTTTATTGATTTTTAAGCAAATTAAATTGTGCGTTAACCGCAAACTGAATTTATCATAAAGTCGCTTTATCAGTCGCCCAACCCCCTTGCCGTTCTCGGTGCCCTCCGCCCCGGGCTCTGGGTCTATGGCTGCATCCTTTAGCATGAATTTTTATTGCCAAAACATTAAACATTTATATCCGCTATCAATTTCGTAACGACGGAAAAGCGTAATCGCATCTCGGCTGTTGCTGCGGAAATTTTCCGGTTCTACCTAATTTAATTTACGTAGAAGAGCGCCAAGCCCGCCAACCGGATCCCGGCCTCCGGATCCCACAACGTGCGATGGCAATAAAAGCGCTAAATTTGTTTATTTTTTCAAGCCTCGAAGGTCCGCAGGGGGTTTTTCATTCAGCCCGGTTCGTAACATGCTATTGGGTTTCGGTTCGATTTCGATGCTCACCCACGGGCTCGCCGGGCTTAGAGTGTAGCATACCTTCCGGCTCCTGCCGAAAGTACTCCCACACATCCGTATCCGCACAGCTCCACCCGCAACATGGATACACAAAGAGAGGCGTCCGCTCCCGGCGCTCGATGTTCCTTTGTTTTTGCCTACCCATTGTTTTTAAGTGGATGCCGGCACATCCTTTGTTGCAGCATCATCCGGGCGGCAGGCGGCGGGAATACAGGGAGCGGGCAGCAGTTCCGACCCCTTTATCACTAATGAAGTGGCCAATGAACTGTATCCCCCAAGATTAAAGCGAAATTAAATGGCTAACCGAGAATTGATTGATCGAAAAAGGTGCGCACTGGCAGCATCCCAAAAAAAGGCAAAATAAATGAGAAAAATTATTTAAACCGATTTAGTAGGTTGCGGTTGGCAGCAGTTCAATATGTGGTGCGGTCAGGGGTTACCCGGTAACCGGAGATAAAAAGAGAACAAAGGTGTCTGGGTGGAGTTCACCGCAAAGCCAATAAAAGGTATAACATTTTCAAATGTCACATAATGGAGGTGAATTCTCTACATTTTTTAAGTCCCTTTGGAAGACCATTTAGTTTAAATTTATTTTAATTGCGGTTATCTACAGGTTCATTACATAAGTGGGGCTCGTCTGGAGCATCACATTGGCATTCTTGGTTCTCATCTGAATCGCACTGCTGGCCCAATTTCATCAAAGGTGGTGGCAGCAGCTATAGGTTGCTTTTTCTCTTTCTCCTCTTGACGTTTTCTGAGTCCTCCACCTTGAGCTTGAACTCTTTCACCGCCTCGGGCAGGTCCTCCTCCGCATCCTCTGCATTTCCGGCGTCCACCGTCCAGGTTTCCAACTGTGGAGGACGATGGTGCATGATGAACGGGTTGATGACCGCGGCCACTCCCTCGGCGTTGTTGAGGTGAACGTGGTGGGTGCCCTGCACCTCGTGGAGTTCAAAATGCGGATTGTTTTCCCGCAGAATGGCAATCACCTCGTCGCTCTGCTCGTCAATGAAGTTCGACTCGGAGCCCTTGATCACGCAGTAGGGGACATTGCGAATGGTCCTGGCCAGCTCCGCCGCGAAGGGGGGGCTCGTGTGGAACTCCGTGTAGTATTTGCAGCGGCCGTCCCGCGAGAAGAAGTACTTGGCCGGGAACTTGGTGGAGCGGCTGATGTTGCGTGTCAGGATGTGGCGGCAGTTCTCCAGGGCCACCGAGTAGTCGGAGCCCTTGTGCAGGACCTGCTCCAGCTCGGGGTACGTGTAGGCGGGCGGCTCCTGGCGCTTGGCATTTGCGAAGCGCTCGTCCTCCAGCATGTACCCCTCGATGTTGGTGCGCAGGTAATCGATCTGGGAGGGTGGCTTGCGATAGCGGGTCTTCACTATGTCGATGCTCACCAGCATGTCGGTGCGGTGCGGGTAGAGGGAGGCAAATATGAAGCAAAGCATGGCGCTCATGGAGTGGGCCATTAGGGACACCTTCTGCCAGCCGTACTCCTCCATGACGCGCAGGATCACGCACAGGTAGTCCACAAAGTGGTAGGCAATCCCCTCGGGCAGTTTCGCGGAATATCCGTGGCCGGGCAGGTCGATGCAGAGGACGCCCAGGTGTCGCGGCAGCAGCGGCAGGAGTTTGTCCCACGTGCCCAGGTTGTCCAGCCAGCCGTGCAGAGCCAGGATGGGTCGTACCTGCCGGTTGCCGTACCATCTGCCCACCACATAGCCCCACGGCATATCGATGCGCACGTCCATGGGTTCCTGCAAAAAGTAATAGCTTGTTGTAGAATATTATATAGTTTATTTGAGTCGGTTTATTAGAAAGTGGAGTAATAAGCAGAGCTCTAGCTCAATTAATTCTTCCGGTTGGTAGTGTGTGGAGTTGTCGAGGTATTCTGCCACAAGCCTGTCCTGCCACAGGCTTCCCAAGTGGCACTTCGACGGTGTGTTTGGGCAACAAGTCTAATTTGTAGCCAGTAGCCAGTACTACACTCTTTCGAGAAGTCAAAACAAGAATTTTTGTATCTATAGATTGGATTGAACTAGTATATTAGCGATAATGCTAATCTTTGTATAACATGCTATTACGTTTTTTGTTTATAACTGATTAAATACTGATTCTAATGAGAATTTGATGAAAAGCTTAGTCAGAGGTATAAATTATAACTTATAAACTTATAATTTTTAAAGTTTGAGGTCTGTACTTTGCTGACTAGTGTCACAGGGACAGATAATTTAGTCCATGATGCGTGCCAGTGCGTCCGTCTATCTACTGGTCCCATCCTCAACCGTTTTGATCAATTGGTTCGTGTGAAAAAGTTGAAGCGGTTGTCAACCAAACGACACCGGATGGAGGAGCTCCGGCTTCGGGCCAGGAGCAGGTGTCGATTGATGGACAGGATACCCCGTGGCGCCACGAGTAGCATGGCCGGCAATTTATCATCTAGTTTTTCCTTTGTTTCTGGCCAATCGATATGCTTTTTGAAGCGTCGTGGCCCCCCGCCGTGCAGATGGCTGATGCGGCGGCACATGCAAACTCCAAAAGTTGGAACAAATGGATTTTTGTAGTTCGGAACCGCAGAAAAAAGTTTGGTGCTCGCTGGGCTTGAAAATTTTCACCGAATACTTCGAGTGTGACAAGACTATTAGAGTGGAGTCTGAAAACTTTTACAGCCTCCCTGTTAATGCCGTCGAGTCGACAATTTGATGAACTCCTAATGAGCTCGATAATCGAATTACAACAGAGGAGACTTTGTCAGCAATTTGTAGTCTGTGCTGTGGTTTTATTTTTATGCCTTTTCTACGATTTTAGTCTGAATAGCTTGCTTTAAGTGTTGTAATCACTCTTATGTGATTCGGCAAGTGCCCAGAACTACTGGAAATAAATAATAAAGACACATTCCCGTCGGTAGCGAGTGATTTGCAGTAGACATTGACTTTGATTCCGCCACCACAACAATCTTATCACCTCGGAGAGTCCGATCCGATAAGAATGCACTCCCCCGTTCAAAGGTAGCGTCTAAAACGTGCTTGGTCGGTGGATTTTCGTGGGAATCTATTTGCTGTCCGATAAGCCCAGCGCCTGGCCCGATGTCGTGTAACATTCAATAACTATTTATGACTTAAACCCCCTGAATCCCCATATCCATCACCTGGTCATGCGGCTCGGTGTGAATGGTTCCGTTCTCCAAGTTCGACGTCATTGTGGAAGGTTGTTTTCCGCGAAAAATGACACAAGTTCACACTGAATCCGACACACGCGTGTCGGAAAACACTAAAGCGGGATGGGGGCGGGAAACTTTTCTATTTTTGTTCTAAATTAACTAAATTAATAGACTACTAGCTGCAGAGGGCTAGTTGGAAGAGAAGTGCTCACGGGCGAAGCGTAAACAAAACTAAATGTTGTTCAGCTAGTCACGGCGATTAAATGACTCTCCCCAGTGGGTTGGAACTGAACTTTAATCAGGTGTCACGATTGATAGAGGTGGCTTTGGGCTAAGAGAGCCAACAAAGAGTCCCAACTGAGTCTCTAAAGAGCATTCGAAAAAGATCTGAGCTTTTCTAATTGCGATAAAATAAAAAGCTCAACGAAAGAAATTATAGACAAGAGATCTTGAGGTTCAAAGTTTGCATCATATATAGTATTTTTACTATTCAACACCTTAACGAGAAACAAATAATTTTTAAATAAATATTAAATCGTTGTTTTACAAGCCAATAATAATATTCAAATTAGCCGTGAATATTGTCACTGAAAAATGTCACCACAACAGTTCTCGCTGATGCCACGAAATGGGGCATTCATCCGTGGAAAATCGCATGTTTACCCTGGACAAACATAAATATTTATAGGTTTCATTTTCCAAAAGTGACCATCAAATAATTGATGCCAACATGCCAGGTCACACACAAAGCAGCCCTTAGAGCTTTACTTGTTGATTAAACTCCAAAGATACGAACATATAATATAGATTGAAAAAATTCAATTTATGAATAATTTGATGAGATTTGCAAACATCAGAGCCCGGAAAAGAGCAACAAAGGCTTGCTCCATAAATATCGGAAATAAAATTTAAATAAATTGGTTTTGCATTCCCATTTTTTGTGCGGCCAGAAATCGGTTCAAAAATTAACAGCCGAACAGATCAATAAATATTTATTTGGTTCGCGAGAAGCACAAAAAAGTTTTGGTCATTCTGGTCAAATTTCTGGTCCGGATAACAGGCAGAACATATTCAAAAATCCATTTGTATAAAATGCTGCCGCTTTCGACAAGAGTTTACACAATAAATGTGTTTAGTTTCTGCCAAATGGAAATGCCAAACGTTTGCAAAATACTATTCGGGAATCGCTCTGGGCTCAAGTCCTTGGCCTGTTGGATTCATAAATCTTCATGGAGTGCAAATTGAATGTTTCAGCGATATTCCGGGTGCGCCATAAATAACAAATTGATATCATAAATCTGGCGCTGGAGAGCATGCAAAGCTTTTTTAATTTGCAGCGAAATTAAAACTTCAGAGCCTTTCCCAGAGGTGGCTGAAAACGATATGGTTGGCCGATATGGTCGGCCGAAGCCGGAGCCAGAGCCAGAGCGTTTAATCAAATGCATCTGGCGCAGTGCAAGTGGCAGAGTCCCCCGGCACAGTGCCTTCGCGGTTCACCTGTTCCAGCCAATCCACCCACTTTGTCGCTAATGACATTCGAATGACGATGTGCCCCCACTTGCTGGTCGGATGCAGTCGACCCAGTCAACCAAACTTGGCTAATGACTGGAGTTTCTTCAATTTAACTTCATGATGGGCCAGCATCAACCTTCTACGAAGAAGGTTTCCTCATAGTTTCTCTCAAAAATCATCGTAGAAGCCATGTCCAATTCAAGCTAACCAGAGCGGCGGAAAAGGCGCTCTGACAGGCACAGATTTCCACTTGGCTATTTCTGGATTTATGCCAAAGCAAAGACGTTAGCAGCGTGTCTCGCCCTAATATTGTTGCCAGGTGTAAAATGCAAAGTAATGTCTTCAAAGTGCCCGGGCAGGCAGTCGGAAGCCATCCGTCGAAAAATGGAGACTGAGCGACTAGCCTTGTGGAATACCCTTTAATTGGCTTGGGTATTTTCCCAACGCACCTCAAACGAGGTAGTCCGGGCTACCTGGTTGACTTAAAGTTGCAGCCGCTGCTAATCCTGGACCAGCATCTACTTGAATATCTAAGCACTCAGTGTAAAGTAATGCCCCTAATTGGCCGTAAACAGAGAATATAAACGTCGTTCACTGCCAGCTCGTCCTGCTCCTGCTGAGTTCTCTATTCTGGGCTCCTGTTTCTACGGAGCCGGCTCTAGCCTGGTATGGTGTGGCCTTTTGTCTGGCATTCGAGTGAAAAGCTTTTGTCGGCGCATGGAAATTTGACGGAAATTGTTTGGTCTGATGGATGCAGATGCGGCTGCTGCACCTCGTTCTGGTCCTCCGGTGGCAGATCCTGGTACGCCTGTTGTTTTTGTTGGCTTTCACCTCCAGCTAATGGTCCTCCCACATCCCGCATCCCGCCGCCCCAGTTGGATGCGTCAATCCTTCAGCTAAGTAAGCAGACAGTTTCCAGGTCAGTTGAAAGACCATAAACTGGCCTGTTTCCCAGTGTTGTCTAACCGAATGAAAACGGCAAAACGGCAATTTCAATAGAATTTAAACTTAATTCTTTTGCCTCGGCTCCTGCCGGCTGCTGGCGGGTGGCTGTAGTGCTTGGATGGCTCCAGTGCCTGGCTAGCTCCATTTTCCACTGGCTTGTTGGTGTTGCCGAGAAAGCAAAGATTACGCCAAGCGAAATAAATGCAAATCGCATTAGAATGAATTTGGCTGGCTGGCATGACTGCTCCTGCGACTGTGACTGCAGCATAATGTCCTTAAAATGGCCAGCCAGACGACGAATTTGAGAACAAAACTTGAGCATCGTCCGGCTGCCCAGATAGCTGGACAAGCACGGCAGGGAGCTCTGGCCTCGTGACCTCAGGTGGGGCATCATTAGGTTGAAGAAGCAAGCAGCACGCCTCGAGCTGCCGTGTTGGGTGCCGCAACACAATCAAAATCAAGTTGAACGTTGAACTTTTTAATGCATAATTTATTGCCGAGTGAGTTGGCTTGGTTAACTGAGGTTAACTGAGCCATCAGAGGGAGAACTATAGGTAATACTTGTTGTGTTAAAAGACAAAGATTTAATAAGATCCTCCGGAAATAAAATACATTTTGTTTATAGATTTTATTGGTTATTTTTACGGGCAAGGATAAAAATAATGTGGAACCTCTCGCACCTCATAAATATTTATGAAACGTCCAGGCCAGGCACGTTTCAAGCCAAGCACCAAGCACCTCATGCAAAATACCAGAGGATGGCGATTTATTGGGTTCCGCCACAAACCGAATCTTTAATGCCAGCACATGCCTCACATATAAATATTCGATATTTCCATATTTTCAATTGAAAGAAATGAAATACAAGGTATCTGAAATCAATTTATGTTGGGTAATATGAATAAAATGTACCCGACAGGCCTCTTTCCAAAATATAATCTCTAAAGGTAGCCATAAACCCAATACCAGAGTCATTTAATCTTGTTGTGAATAATGGATAGAACTAGTCACTTGGCCACAAATTAGTTGAAATAGTTTATTAACCAATTCATTCCCAGTCATTTGTCTCTAAAAGTGAGCAACACTATTGTCTCTATTTTTGGAAAAAGTTGCAGCTTTGTTTGCGTGTTTCGCCCCAACTGAGTGAAATTGCGAAACCAAATCGCCCAATCCAAGTCACAACTATCAATTAAACTAATTAGCTTGATTTCCCAGCAGAACTGCAGCGAGGACACGCCCAAAACTTTTGCCTTGCCATGCCTGGGATTTCCTGGGGGTTCTGGCGGGAAAATTCAATCAGAGCGTGCAGAAAAACGCAATCAAATGATTAAGTCAACAAATGAAGGCAAATTGCTGGGGCCGCATCAGCGGTCCGGTCCGGTTCGGTCCGATGCTGCTGTTTGCTGGTGCCGGACTTTGGGAATGCACTGGGTGCGGAAAATTGAAACCCAAAAACCCACAGAAAAATAAGAAAAAGTCACCACCGGCAACGAGCTTGTTCCCTTCGAGGTCTTTCTCCAAAACTTTGCCCAACTTTTCCCTCCAGAAATGTCTTTACTTTCCGTTCCTCTTTTTGCACACGAATCAGGGTGCATTTTAAGCAGGTGGAAACGTAAAAAGCTTCTCCAGCTTACTAATGAGTACCGTACTTGGGCCATAGATCGAATCCAGGCTACTATCTGCTCTCGCTTTTTGCCATCCTGGCCATCCTCTACCGTTCGCCAACATATTTTAGACATTTTTATGGCAAGTTTTTTCTCGACTGCTTCCTCACATTCAAATTCAATTGACTGTAGCTCTATGGAGTGGGCGTGGCACGTGCCAGAGGGCCTCCAAATATATATATATCTACTAGTATACGTATGGATGCATCCTTATGGCATATTCACTCCTGGGGTTTTTTTTGGCGATTGCCTGGCAGGAAATTTATTTATATTCAATTTGTGAATTTATGCCACTTTTTACTGGGGGAAGGCTCCGACAAAGGCCGGGAAAATTCAGTTTACTGCAGTTGCAGTTTCCATCTATGGAAAGGATATGGAAAGGATGCAGTGTGAAAAGTGCACTGGGGTTTTGTTCTCAAGATTTTGGTAGACATCTGTCTTGTAAGAGTCTATGTTAAACCCATAAAGGCAAGAAATCTTTCTCTCAGTGCCTAAACATGGCTGGCTTTCTTGCTGCGACTTGCTCTTCAGTGGAAGGAAACTTAATGCTGTATTTACGGCCACTGGATGCATTTACTGCCGCAGCCGTTGTCCCTGCTGCTGCCGCTGCCTGTCGATGAGGTCGATTTAGACTGGGACTGATTTTCCGCAAAATCATAAACACATTTGCCCGCCAGAGCACAGCAGTTGGTGACTCCATAGATGATTACCTAATCTAAGAGACTAGACCTGAGGGACAGAAGGTACAGTCCTGAGGTACATTCTAGATCCTCGGGTATGAACTGACCTGCTAGGGTTATAGGGACTACCTACCCACCCACCAGGTACCACCTCCTTTATCCTCATATCAGTCCTATAAATACCGATCGCTGGTCCTGCATCATTCATTCCGTCGATGTCCTCATACAGCGACAGTCAGCCCTGCATAGTAGTCCGTTGAGAGTGCGAGTCAGTGTTGTGAGTCTTCTGTGATAGCTAGACCCAGTGCCCACAGCTCAGGAAGGATGTTGTTCCTGGCGCCGCGCAAACACCTGTTTGCCACCAACCTGGTCATCCTGCTGATGATCTATGTGATGCGCAAGTGCCTGCAGCTCTTCTGCATTATCGAGAACGGAACCACCGATTCCAAGGACAAGGACAAGGCCACCCCAGTGATGGAGGACTCTCCACTGATGGTGCGCCGCGGTGGGTTCAAGATCATCCCTGATGCCATGCACCAGAGCATGCACGGATTTGGCTATGGCGAGGGACACTATCAGATCTTCGTGGAGAAAAAGGAGCGAAACTTACCCACCAAATCGCGTCTCAACGCGGCCACCGCTGAAGTCAAGCTGAATCCCAATTAGACGCCGCAGATTCTGGGACTGAAAACCATGACATCCCCGCATGTCACCGACAATGAGCCAATCGAGCCAGCCATATCTCCTCCAATCCCCCAAAGCCCCTCCACATCCAAGTCTTCTTGATTAGAATTTAATCGAATTTTTGCATGCCATAATATTATAATTGTAAAACCGACAAGAGTGCTTTTTTGGCCATTAATAAAAAATAATAAAAAAAATATATCAGGTGACCTTATGTTTAACAGAGCTTCTGTGTTAGAAACGAGCATAAAAATATTTATTTAGATGAAACTTGATTGATTGCCCTTTTTCGTAGTTGGATTTTCACTCGAATTCAGTTTTCCTAAGACACAGATTTCATGAAACTTGAAAAATTATCTGCGACGGAAGAAATGGCCGCCTCGCATATCGCGTGGGTGTTGCAGCAACATTAAATGGCTCCAAATTTATCACAAAGTAGCACAAACGCACATGGCAGAAGCTGGTAGGAGGAGATGGGGATCAGGATGGCAGGGATAAGGATGGGCCAAAGCTGCGGCAACAACAATGTTAGACAATATGCTCCAGTAATTTGTAAATACTCTTAACTAAGTGGCATACGCTGCAAAAGGTACTGTTTCTATGCAAGCGATTATAACTCTAAAATATTTAAGATATATATGTATAAGGTAGTGGCATCTATGGATGTCCTTACCCTCATAGATCGAGGACAACACCATAGTCCCTAAGCCCCCGCAAGAGTATCACCACTTCGAACAACTACTGAGAAGGCCATTTCCATTGTTCAGCTCTGGGCAAGATAAGGAGGCAGAACTGGCTCAGCTTGAGCGCAGCAATTGTTGGCAAATCTATCATCATCATCTCCTTAAGCACGTGTCTGTAATGCGTGTGTGCTCCGTCCCCATCCGTCGTTATCCTTCCTCCCGGCTCTAGGTCTGTGGCAGTGCTAATCTGGCGGAGACAATGTCGACGTGTGAGTGTGCAACATTTTCTGCATTGCATTATAAATGATGGGGAATTTTTAGTTGTAAGCTGCACCAGCCCTTCGGCTGCATATAAATGGTCCCTCCCGAATCCTGTGCCTCATTATAATCGTGATTGTTATGGCTGTGAGTCTAATTCCATAACTATGTAGTTGCAATTCCATACGCCCTGTGGACGATAGCTGTTGACGCGAGACATGAAATGTCAGTCGGAAGAGCGCGCCAACAGGCATCCTGTCCATAATGAGGTGGCATCCAGAAAATGCAACTAACTTACCATAATTGGGAATATGAATGAACCTCTTGTTTCTGTCCAACTACACCCGCTGGTGCTCCAGTTTCTCGTTTTGTTCGACTGGTCGCATGAAACCCTAATCCCTCATGTAAATCATGTCGCTATTGTTGCGCTCATAGTTTTGTTCGCTGCCGGACTCATTATAATTAACAATTTATAAAGCGTTAATCCACACACGCCCCTCTACTTCACTCCGCTCTGGAAAAGCCATGGCAGCCAAAAGAGCATGTTCAGCAACAGCTAAAGCAAAATCCAGACAAACAAACAAGTCGGGGGGTCGGGGGAGACCTGGGATTGGATTGGACGTGGTATGAGTGTGAGTAAGCAGCATCCATTCGGTGGTAAGCTGCTTTTATCCTCCTTCCTTTTCTTTTCTTGCCTCCCAGCCAGCAACCTCTTCCTCCTGCCTTCTTCCGGCTAACTGCTTCCACTGGCACGTCGCGCGCATTAAGAAGATGAGCTGCATTTTTCATGCATGTGAAGTTGAGATTGCAGCTGCTGCTCCCCTCGCCAGAATTCCTGGGGGGGAGCTGGCTTTCTGGCAGCTGGGAAGCCGGATCTGGAAGCTGCAGCTCCTCGGGCTCATCCGCATCATCATCCCGCTCATCAGCGTCATTTGTATTAATTGCCCAGCATTTTGCTCAGCGCAATGATACCGAAAACGGGGGACTCTATTGTGGGTTTCCTCTAATTATCCATCCTGGCGGAGGATAATATTATTGTTCGAGAAGTTTGCAACGCAGAGGAGCTATCTCATCTCCTATGGATTATTTATGATCAAGAGTCCTGATCAAGAATCGATAGCCTCCTCCCCAGCTTCCAATATCGAACATCCAAACCAATATCCCGTCCACAACCACACACAAATTGCCAATTTAACAGTTTGACGGGAACTGGCCGAAATGGCAGGACTACTTAAACCGCATCGACTTTTATGGACGCTCAATTAGTGGCACAATCGTCGAAAAAGAAAGAGCGCAATGCGCGTTCAATTGAATTTTATTGAGTCTTTAATTGATGCCATGCATGCTGGGATGCTGTGATGCTGTGGGATTGTCTGGGATTGCACACGGCCGCAGTAGAAACAATTGCAATGGAAATCCCATTCCGCTAAAATCAGCACACAAACATGGCGAGGATAATTAGCGCTGGAAATTGCCATAAACAAAACAGCGGAAGTTGCAGAGCTGACTTGTAAATGATTTACGAAATGACAGCAAATTGCCTTCCTTCCGACTTTTCCACTGCCTCCCTTGACAGTTGCTTGAGGCAACTGCCGGGGAAACAAAGGAAACCATTTCGAAACCGCTCAGCGCTGAATAAGGCAATTAAGCGGCGCTAATGAAGCGAGTGCCACCCGAATGGGGCTCGATCAACTGCAGTTTGTTGCATTTTGTCCAACAATCGCATATCCCTGCTCAAAAAACCATCCAATATGCAGCACAAAAACTGCAGAAAATAAATTTTAATCAAATAACCAAACAATGAGTGGAATGGGAGGCAGCACCGATCGCATAATAAATAAATATTCGATTTTAAATCAACCAAAACGGAGCAAAACAGTTTGAAGCAGCAGCATGAAAAATATTAAACTGAATGAAATGAAATTACCAATGCCAATAAATACAATAAAGATAAATAAATTGAAAATGTGCTCACATGCGGAATATATGTGTGTTTTATATGGTTTTAAGCGGATTTCCAAGTCGACGAATGTGTGGCCACAGAACAACACCCACAGAAACCAAAAGCCGACCCCCCAAAGCCCACTTTGTATGAATAAAATAATTAAATTGAATAAACCGCAAAAAAATGTCGGCCATCCGGAGCCATATGTCCACAAAAGCCAATACTCCACAGGAGTCATTAAATATTAAAAGTCAATTAACTTTGTGCTAGTCCAAGATACTTGGAGAGATGATATTTTCAATTTTCCCCGGTATTCAGGCCTTAGACCGCAGCTCTGGCGCCACACGGCCTTCACTCCGGGGCCAAGTCCATAAACATGTGCCCGGACAATGCGCATACGCCGTGTGGTCGGCCGAGGCGAAGGGCAACCAGAAATGTTTATTACGGGCCACTCGATAAACTATCGAAAGCCTATAAATTTGCGTATCCATGAGATAATCACACATAACACCGGACAGTGCCTACCGAAAGTATGAAATCGAGTTCTGTAACATCTAATATGATGTTTCTGTCACAGAGGTTATCCCTTATTTTTTGGGAGTGCCTGTTGTATCCGCTCGAATGGCTGGCTCACTCTAGCTTTGACTCGTTTCGCCGCATGCAAATGGAATAAATACGTACTGCTTCGACCACCGTCCGGATCCATTGTTACTGCCCTGGCTTGGCTCCTGCTGCCAAATGGGTCAAAGTGGCAGTCAGCCAGGCGACCAAACCGTTTGCCAAGCTCAGGGCTAGCAGATGCACAAGCTTCAGTTACACTGGCAGAATAGGAAGCAGATAAATATATTTATAAACCTATACGAACTAGCTTTCTTAAAGTGAAGACTGGAACCTGTCTCAACTATTTTTATGAAATACCAAGTATTCTAGCACTAGTTCTGTTGCCAGTTGAAGAGGATTATTGTTTAGAAAAATATTAAATATATGTTGTCTTTAACAACTATCTTATATCGATCCACCATTTCTAATACCCAGATTTAAGTTCTGTGTATGCCAGGTCTTGGGCCATCCGAAGACCGGGAAGAGAACGAAATTGTGCGCTAAATTCGAATTCAAACACAAAAAATGCAAGTAAATAAAGCGGGCTTTGTGTGTGCGACTGCGTGGAGCCAAAGGCAAACACCGAGCACCGGGAATGCAGGGCAAAGGCTGCGGCAGTGGCTGGAGGGGCACAAATGTTGGCTCAAAGAACCGCACATATGAGCACACGCCGAGGCGAACCGCTTGGCCAAACATTTGTCCAGTGGCCCCTCCCAGTTCCGTGCCCCGCCAGAACGTAGGCACGTACAAATCCGATTTGCACAATTCAAACAGCATGAATTTCGTTCGAAATGCATGGCGAATTATTTGCTGATATCGCCGCCAGTCGTCACCGATGAGCGTCCGAGGAGCCATCATCCTCATCATAATATTTGTTTCACTTTGTGCTCCGCTCGATCTGGCAATCCTTGAAACGAACGCTGCCCTTGCCCGGGGACTGTTTATACGATTTTAATTAATTTTTTGCGGCCAGCTTAAGTCTCGCGTTGAAAAATGTTAACCGCTGACGAAAGCGAACATCGGAGCATTTCCCTTAAGCCTTAAACTTTGCTTTCATTTTAATTAAAATGCATTTTAATGCGATTTCGCGGCAGTACTCGCTCGGCCCCTCCCATCTTGCCCAAGTTCAAGGCAAAAGATGTATTTAAATCGAGGAAGTATTACTCGGATGCTGCCGCAACTGTTGCATTGGTGATGGACTGGGACCGAAAAGCAGACGTCAGCAGTCGGGCTCGAAGTTATTTCTCAATGACGGTTGCACGGGAAAAAATACCTTTTTATTTAAACGAATTTCAAGTACTATTATACTCCGGATTTTGTCCAGTGAACTCGTACGTATGCAACTGCAATAAATCGCATACATCAGAGCTCAAAACATGCCAGCAATGGCGTTAAATGTCAAATAAAAATTCAAAACAAAGCAAAGAGCACACACAGAGTGCAATCAAAATGAAAGACAAATGCCGGGCACACATTGCAGACATTTTTCCGGCAAGAGTGAGCAATAAATGAGACCGCACTCTAACAATCTGTGGCGTATCCGAATACCACTTTCCAGCTCAAGCTCAGCTCCCCAGAAGGACGAAGATTGAATGCACTTGTGGCACGTCGTCCGACCTGAAGCATTCCGGAACGTTATTGTTGCCGCTCTGCATATGATTAATCCCGGCAGTCTTGGCAACA